ATACATGTAAGATCCCCTTTGGAGACTCTCAGATCTATTTGAACAGGCATTCGAAGGAGCCTGGAGTTCTACAAAGCCAGATGGGGGTAACACCAACAACATCTGTATTAAAACTGTTGCTGTGAACTATATTTACTCTCAGGCTAGTATGATCTGGGCTACAGAATGTTGGGATTTTTCTCCCAGGACAATAATGTATAAGTCATTTTAAAAATGCATTCTGTGCTTCAATGCCTTCTCCCTAGGAGTTCAGCTAAGGCTAAGATTTACAATAATTCTTCAGATTGTTTTCCTCCCTGTGGCTCACTCTGGTGTGTGCCCCTTGACATTTAGATGTTTTTTTACATGAGTTTCACCATAAGTAACTAATAAATACAGGTCACTGAAAAAAAGAAACATTAAAATAGGTGTGATTTGAGCAAATTCAAGTTTTCCAAAGAAAGAGAAAAAGCTGATTAAAAGTAACAGCCCGAGAAATAAGCAATCTCCAGTACAAAAAGTTGAGAGCTAGGAGTCTTGAAATTCCCAATATAAGCAGCTGGAAAGTACACATCTGAAATAGTCAAAAATAAGAAAAAAAGATGAGGTCTTATTTCAACACAAACTATCTCCAGTTTTTTTAAACAATAGCTTTCAAACGGTTAAAAACATGTTTGAGAAGACTATGGGTAAAAAAAATAGATCTATAGGGCCTGGCCTGGTGGCATAGTGGTTAAGTTTGCACACTCCCCTTCGGCAGCCTGGGCTTCATGGGTTCGGATCCTGGGTGTGGACCTACACACGGCTCATCAAGCCATGCTATGGCAGCCACCCACATACAAAATAGAGCAAGACTGGCACAGATGTTAGCTCAATGACAATCTTCCTCAGCAAAAAGAGGAATATTGGCAACATGTTAGCTCAGGGCCAATCTTCCTCAAAAAAAAAAAAAAATAGATCTGTAGCCCTCTTTTCTTCAGATAACATAATTCTGAACTCTAAACTTCAAATAATATAGATCTGTAACACAATCAAAATGAAGGATGCAAGGATCTATCTCTTGGGCTAATACAGCCTGCATCTCTTTCTCCAACAAAACGTTCCTGACCACAAATCCTGACCCTAACACAAACTCTGACAAATTCGGCTTCTCTGTTCTAAGGGGTTGTCAAAGACAAAAACCAAACAAGTAAGAAAATTGATTTCGTGAAGACTCTTGCAATAGGGAGAACACTCCAAATCCAATGATCAGAGTGTTTTTGCCTTAGACATTTTTGTCTAAGGCAAACATGAGATAACATGTTGCCAATCTTCCTCTTTTTCTTTTTCTTCCCAAAGCCCCAGTACATAGTTGTATATCCTAGTTGTAGGTCCTTCTAGTTCTTCTATGTGGAATGCTGCCTCAGTGAGGCTTGATGAGCGATGAGTATTTCTGCGCTCAGGATCCAAACCAGCAAACGCCGGGCCGCCAAAGCAGAACACACAAACTTAACTGCTACGCCACTGGGCCAGACCCTGCCTTAGACTTTTATAGGGACAAGTCAACAAGTTATAAGTGGGGTAATTTATGGTTGGACCTGTTTAACAATCAAGCCAAGTTTCATTCAGTCAACCAAACAGGAAATGATTATCTCTGACTAGCTAGCTTTAGGGAACAGTTCTAATCTCAGCTAATCATGCATAAGACAAAGAATGAAGAGTTGCAGGGTCTGTGTTCAGGTAAGAGCAGAAAGATGTATTTGGCTTTGTCACAGGTAAACAAGGGGTCATCCATGAGTCTTATGAGTCATGAGAAAGAGTGGACAGCAAGTCTTTTCTAAGTGTTATGAAGAAGGGTGGGCGTCTGCAGTGAAAAGTTTCCCAGAACATGATGGGTGGGGGGATTACTTGACCTTCACTGTTTTTCAGCAACACAGAGCTCAGTAAAGTTCAATACTGTCAGTTCCCTCTTTTGATTAAGGGGGATGAGTATCATTTGCTGCTGAGCAACTCAGCAGCGATCATAAGCCTCCTGAGTGGGGTGAAGCAGGGTCTAAAAAACAGTCTCTCAAGGACTCTTTCGAAAATCAGTTAATAAATTTTTTGAGAGTAGGTAGCAAAGATCAATTGTTTCAGAGTCCTGGGAGATCAGGTATCTTAAAAAGAGTGATGCCTGAAATGTAAAAGAGACATTGTGCAGAAAAGTTTACATAGCAGGCCTGAGACTCTGATCCTCAGAAAGGCCTGCTTACAAGGTTGGCCCTTGGATGGCATCTGGGAACCTGAATGATAAACAGTTCCCAACACTAAAATAAAACTTTCCCTAAATGAAAAGCGTGCCTCACTATGCCTAGACTTTTTGTATAATCAACGTGCTTTATGCTGTACCTGCTTTCTTTCTGGGAGTCTCGAATTTTGGTACTTAGTAGGCAGAAGGTTTCTGTATGGCCAGCCACCAATAAAAACCTTGAGCACTGGGTCTCTAATGAACTTCCTTGGTAGACAGTAATTCACGTGTGTTGTAACACTTTGATATTAGAAGAATTGAGTACATCCTGTGTGACTCCACTGGGAGAGTACTTTAGGAAACTTGACCTGTTTTTCTCTGGAATTTTTGCCATGCATCTTTTCCCTATGCTGACTTTTCTTTGTACCTTTTCACTATAATAAATCTTAGCTGTGAGTACTACATGCCAAGTCCTGTGAGTCCATCTAACAAATCATCAAAACTAGGGGTGGACTTGGGGAGCCCCAACAGAAATATTAATATAAAAGATTGTATTAAAATAAAAACCTATTAGTTGAATCCTGAGGGTATCTACTCCAGCAAATTCTAAGAGGTGGGTGGATGGAAACCTTTCAACTATACATCACTGCTTGTTGAATTTCTTGAACCTAAGATGTCTATGCTCTTAGTGATATTATCCACTGTCATGGTCACCTCTCATATAAGGGTAGGAATGACCTGAGCATTTCACCAGATTCCATAAGTGGTCCAGGGAGCAGCTCACCCAGAGAGAAATCTGGTCCATGCGTGACATCTTGTCATGAGGAGTCTTGTGAAGTATATATCAAATTATCAGACTGTATCTCACAGAGCTTGTTCAGATCCTGGGAGAAAAGGCCAGCTACAAAAAAACTTAACCCGAATCCTGACATGCATCTGAGTAGTCAAGATTTAGTTCCCAGATGAGTCAGGCAGGAGGGAGAAAGACAGGAAATGTTAGCTTAGAGGGTTGTATCCAGATACTGAAAATATTATGGACTGAATTGTGTCCCCTCAAAATTCATAGGTTGAAGCTTTAACCTCCAATGTGACTGTATTTGGAAAAAGGGCCTTTAGGGAGGTAATTAAGGTTAAATGAGGCCATAAAAGTGTGGCCCTAATCCAACAGAACTGGTGTCCTTACAAGAGGAAGAGACACCAGGAGGGTATGCACACAGAGAAAAAGGCCATGTGAGGACACATGGAGAAGACAGCCATCTGTAAGCCAAGGAGAGGCCTAACCAAAAACCAACCCTGCCAGCAACTTGATCTTAGAGTTCTAGCCTTTAGAACTTTAAGAAAATTAACTTTTGTTGTTTAAGCCACCCAGTCTGTAGTATTCTGTTATGGTAGCACTAGCAGACTAATATAGAAGGAAAATAAAATTGAAAGTTTGGGTAACAGTTGTCAATTTATGCAGCATCTAGTACAATTTATACGTAGGTACCAAAACTGATTTTTACACAGTGGGAGAGGAAGTCAGTTAAATCTCAGCCAGAGTTCCACTTCTAGAATGGCAGTGTGAGGAGCTCTGTGGACCTACTCCCCAATGAAAAAAGTATAAGTGGTAAAAATGACTTAAAAAAACCCAACAATTTAAAGCTTCTGGAAATTGATCTAAGAGCTTACAGCAAATGAAATAACATTTCTTGAAGAAGATATGCTCAAACTCAATAAAAACAGTGGAGTCTGTGGGAATTTGAACCATGGTCCACTCTTATCCTATCCTCTCCCAGCTCAGTATGATGGAAATTATACTCCAAGAGGGTGCAGCTAAGAACACAGGACTCCCTCTACCCCCAGCTACCAACTTGAAGGTTACAATACCTTCAAGTGAGGGGCAAAGTGCCAAGGTTTCTCACTCCTCTAGTGTTGCTGATGCTAAAGTCCAGGCAAGTGGAGCCAAAAGGTTGAGGGCTTCGTTGACCCATCCAGTCCCCACTCATAGCATGGAGGCTTTACCTCAAGTATGACACACTGATAATACTGGGGCCCTGACTGCCCTCACTTCTGCCCTCACTTCATGTCATTCATAAGGTGGAGGTCCATACCAGGAGAGGCAAGCTGAGAAGTCCAGAGTTACCTCCCACACTCAAATCCATGCTCCTAAAGCATAGGTATCACTATGAGAGAAGTAGGTCACTGTTCACACCCCAAATCCACAGCCATGGATCAGAAATTTTTTTTTTTTGCTGAGGAAGATTCACCCTGAGCTAACATCTGTGCCAATCTTCCTCTATTTTGCATGTGGGTCGCCACTACAGCATGGGTGATGAGTGGTGTAGGTCTGCGTCCGGGATCCGAACCTACAAACCCAGGCCGCCAAAGCAGAGCACGCTGAACTTAACTACTAGATCACAGGGCAGGCCCTGAGAGATTTTTTTCAGATGGGGGAGAAAAGTCTTAAGAATGGAGAGCTCAGAAGCCCTCCTAAAAGGAACTGACTTTTAGGGGAGAGGGGATGCAAACCTAAGTTCACTCTCAGAATGGAAATTTTGTGGTAAGCAATTAAAAGGAGAACAGTAATTTCATGATACCAAAAAGCTAAACCATAGGCCAGCTATTTTATGAGAGAAGAACAGAGAGAAAAAAGAATAAGAAAAATGAACAGAGCCTCAGAGAAATGTGGAAAACCATTAGGCAAATCAATATACACACAATGGGAGTTCCAGGAGGAGAGGAGAGAAAGAAGCAGAAAAAATATTCAAAGAAATAATGGGACACCACGCAGTGGGGCGTCGGCGTCGGGCTCTGTGGCGTTCGCCACCCTGGTTCCCCAGCACCCTTGTGCCGGGACTGAGGAGCCCGCCGAAAAAGGTTGTTTCCCCTGCGGTTTCCAACACGGCAGGCAGGTTTTATAGACATGGATAAGAAGTCCACACACAGAAGTCCTGAAGGTGCCGGGACTGGCAGAAATGGAGGTAAACACAAACAAAAGAAAAAAGCAAAGCAAAATCGAAAACACCACCAATCCCGACACAGATCAACATCTCATTCTTCAGATGACTATGTGTTTCCTGCTTCTTCATCATCATCTTCAGGAAGCCGGATGCATTCAAGTATTGAAGGTGCTCCCATGGGAAAAATTAAAAGAGAGGTGAGAAAAGGAATAAATGGAAAAAAAAGAAAGGACAAAAGATGAAACATCAAGAAAAAGAAAGAGAAGAAAAAAAGGAGGAAACAACCACATGCTGTCACCTTTCCAAACAGGGCTGAAACCAGGCTAAACTTCTTGATTTCCGAAACTCAGTCTTTTGGTGTAAGGTGGCCAAACGAGGATGCAGAGCCCAGCGCTGTGAAACCTACAGAAACATGGAAGAGCTTGGGGAATGGGATGTCTTTCACACCATGTCTAGACTCCTGAAACCAGTCTTCATATCCTCTGTAACCACACAATAAAGAGTTGGGAAATCCCCCCCAAAAAAAGAAAGAAACAATGGCTGAAGGCTTCCCAAATTTGATGAAAAACTTTAATCTATACATCCAAGAAGCTCAACAAAGTCCAACGAGGATCAATACAAAAAGATCCACACTCAGATATATCATGGTCAAAATGTTGAAAGACAAACACAAAGAACATTTTAAAACAGGAAGAAGAAAAGGACTCATTACTTAACAAAGGAGCTCCACTACTACTAACAGCTGACTTCTCATCAACAGCAATGGAAGCCAGAAGGCAGAGGAATGATGTATTCAACATACTGAAAGAAATACACTGTCAACCAATAATTTTACATGCTTCAAAACTAACTTTCAAAAATGAAGGCAAAATTAAGACATTTATTTGTTCAAGATAAATGATAACTGAGAGAATTCATTCATAGCACACATGCCTTAAAAGAAATACTGAACAAAGTTCTTCAGGTTGAAAGCAAGTGCCTTAAGATGGTAATTTGAATCTATATGAAAAAATAAAGAGCACTGATGAAGGTAATTATGAAATTATAAAAGTCAGAATAAATGCATATTTCTTCTTCTGTTAATTGATTTAAAAAGCAATTGTAAGGAACAATGAGTATTTAATTGCATTATTGGTCTTATAACGAATAGAAATGTAGTATATTTGAAAGGACAGTACAAAAGAGGTGGATGAAAACAAAGCTTTATTGATGTCAGAAAATGACACCAGATGGTAACTCAAATCCACAAGAACAAACGACAGAATCAGAAAAGGTAAATAAGGGGCCGGTCCCATGGCCTAGTGGTTAAGTTCTGCGTGCTCTGCTTCAGTGGCCCAGGTTCAGTTCCTGGGTACAGACCTTGTCAGTGGCCATGCTGCGGCAGTGACCCAGATACAAAATAGAGGAAGACTGGCACAGATGTTAGCTCAGGGCAAATCCTCCTCAAGCAAAAAGAGGAAGATTGGCAACAGATGTTAGCTCTGGGTGAATCTTCCTTAGGAAAAAAAAATAAAGAAAAGAAAACGTAAATAAAAGTTAATATAGTGGGGCCGGCCCCGTGGCTTAGCAGTTAACTGCGCGCGCTCAACTACTGGCGGCCCAGGTTCGGATACCGGGTGCGCACCGACGCACTGCTTCTCCGGTCATGCTGAGGCTGTGTCCCACATACAGCAACTAGAAGGATGTGCAGCTATGACATACAACTATCTGAGGCTTTGGGGGGCGGGGGGAGGAGGATTGGCAATAGATGTTAGCTCAGAGCCGGTCTTCCTCAGCAAGAAGGGGAGGATTAGCACGGATGTTAGCTCAGGGCTGATCTTCCTCACAAAGAAACAAAACAAAACAAAAAAAGTTAATATAACAAATAGTATATGCTTATTCTCCTTTGATCTCTCAGATCCCTTAAGATACACAACTATATAAATAACAACAATGCATTATTACATTTGTAACATAGATATAATATGTATGACAATAAGACCAAAAGGGGGAATAACAAGTAACCAAAAGGGTGGGGAATAACAAGTAACCAAAAGGGTGAAGAGGGAATAGAGCTTTATAGGAAAAATGTTTCTATGTCCCATTATAATGAAGTAAACCTGAAATTGATTCTGACAGATTAAGATGACTGTGGTAATCCCTAGAGTAACCATTAAGAAAATAACCTAAAAAAAGTGAAAAAATATCTAAGGAATTAAAAGGTTACAGTGGAAAATACACAATTAATGAAAAGACAGTAGTAAAGGAGGAAGAGAGGAACAGAAAAGACATGAGACATGTAGAAACAAAAGTAAAATGAAAGACATAAATCCAACTGTATCAATGACACTAAATGTGAGTAGATTAAACTAAATAAAGGCACAGACTCTCAGATTGGAACAAAAAAAAGATCCAACTATATGCTGTCTCCAGGAGATAAACTTTAGATTCAAAGATAGAAACTGTTTGGATGTAAAAGGATAAGAAAGCTGGAGTAGCTATCAGTATCAGACAAAATACATTTCAAAACCAAAACAAAACAAAATGTTACTGGAGATAAAGAGGGACATTTAATTAAGAAAATGTTAATCCATTCAGAAGATAAAACAATTCTAAGCTTTTAAGTACCTAACAACAGCATTGCAAATATATGAATCAAAAACTAAGAGAATTGGGGGGGGGGGTGAACAGGGGGAGGAAAGACGATTTTAGGGCAGTGAAAATACTCTGTATGATATTATAATGATGGATTCAAGACATTATACATCTGTTCAAGGTCATCGAATGTATGACACCAAAAATGAACCCTAATGTAAACTATGGACTTTGGGTTATTATGATGTGTCAATGTAGATTCATCAATTGTGACAAATGTACCACTCTGGTGGAAGATGTTAATAATGAAGGAGGCTATGTGTGTATAGGGGCAGGAGTATATCAGAAATCTCTGTATTGTCTTCTGTTTTGTTGTGAACCTAAAACTGCTCTAAAAACATCAACTCCTTTTACAAAAAGAAAAATATGTACCAGAATTGAAGAGAGAAATAGACATTTCAGCAATAATAGTTGAAAACGCTAATATCTCACATTCAACAATGGCTACAAGAACTAGTAAGGTGATCACACAAGACATCAAAGACTTGAACAAAACTATAAACCAAACAGACCTAACAGGTATCTATAGAGCACTCCACTGAACAACAGAATATAGATCTTTCTCTAGTACACATTGAATTCTCCAGGATACACCACATGCTAGGCCATAAAACAAGCCTTAATTTAAAGAGACTGAATTTTGGACATCACCAAGATGATGACATAGGAGGCTCCTGAATTTTGCTCCTCCCATAAGAGGAACCAAATAGATAACTATATATGGATGAATTTCGTCTGAGAGAAATCCAGAAATTAGTTGAGTGACTCCTACACACCAAGTGACTGAAAAAATACCCACACTGAAATGGGTAGGAAAGGCTGAAACACACTCTCACCATAAACCTCACCCCTGATATAGTACCTTACAATTAGGAGGGAACCCCCAACTCCCAGTTTCTCTCTAAGGAGCAAAGGGTTTGGACCACACATCTAGTGCCCCAACCGTTAAGGCTGTTATGTGAGAGACGGGCCCCCAAATCACCTAGCTCTGAGAAACAGTGGGACTTACATTCACAAATTCCACGGGACTATAGCAAACAAAGAAGCAGTTTTTAAATGGGCACATGAGCACTTCCCAAAGCTATACACTTGGGCTCAGCACTGAGCAAACAGGCAAAAAGCCCATCTCCCAGTTTCTCCCTGGAAGGAATCTGACTGCATACTTTCCCAGCTGCTGCCAGAGAGACAGGCATCTAATCCACCTGAATCTAGGTGCTGTGATCTTCCCAGGAGCCTGAAAGAGACAGTGGGCACTTTCTCTGAATTCTCCCTCTGGCTGGCTCCAACAATACCAAGTCCTCAGCTTTTCCCTGGGAAGAGCTTGCCCACAAATCTAGCGCAACAGCTTTTACAGCTGCCACCCAAGGGACAGGCCTCAAATCACCTAGCTCTGATAGCCAATGGAGCTCAGTATTCATGAGTCCCACAGGATCATATTAAACAAAAAAAGCAGTTTTCAAAGTGCACAAGCATTTCCTGCGGCTATCCCCACTGGGGTCATTGTAGAGGGAGCAGGCAAAAACACCCATTACCCACTTTCTCCCTGGAAAGGATTTGACTGCATAATTTCCCAACTGCTACCTGAGGTTCCTGCTTCTAATCAGCCTGCATGTGGAAGCTAACCAGGATCCTCCTGAGAACCTGATAGAGCTGGTGGGCACATCCCCCACTGTCTCCTTCCAGCTCCCTACAACATTAAAACCAGGTCTCCAGATTCTCCGTAGAAGCTTGTCCACACATCTAGCACTCTAATATTATTGTTGCCACCCAAGGGACTGGATCCCAAATTACCTAGTTCTGGGAGTTGACAGAGATAGGCATTCATGAGGCTCCCAGGACCACACAAAACAAAGAGGCAGTTCTATTTGGGCATACAAGCACTCCCAGTGACTATTCCCCCTCTGGCTCAGGAAAGACTGAGTAAACAAAAACACCCAGCTCCCTGTTTCTACCTGCTAGGGGTTAGACTGCATATCTAATGTTCTGACTTTTCCAGCTGTTGACTGAAGGCCAAGCTTCCAATTAGCTTGCAATGGGGAGCCTAAGGGGCAGGTAATTAGTAGACCTCTGGGGGCCTAAACAGGTGTATGGACATTTCGCATGCCTTTGGGACACCGACAGGCCTTGGCACACTCTCAAGTATTGGGAGCCACTAAGAACAAAGACGGTGGCTGGAACAATCACAAGGGTTTGCAACCAGGAACTCAAGACAAGCTGATTTACAAAGCTCATCTCCTAGGTGAGGCCAGTCTTTCAAGATTGCGAGAGAGAGCTGTTTTATCTAATGCACAGAAACCAACAGAGAGTCAAGGAACATGAACAGGGAATATGTTCTAAACAAGATAACTCCAAAAACTAAACGTAATGAAACTGAAATAAATTATTTACCTCATAGGGAGTTGAAAATAAGGGTGATAACGATGCTCACCAAGAGTCAGTAGAGTAATGCATGAACACAGTGAGAATTTTAAAAAAAGATAGAAAATATAAAAGAGAACCAAACAGAAATCATAGAGCTGAAGAACACAATAATTTAACTGAAAAATTCAATAGAGGGGTTCAATAGCAGAATAGATCAAGCAGAAGAAAAGATCAGCAAACTCAAAGAGAGGGCAGTGGAAATCATCCCATCAGAGTAGAAAAAGAAAAAACAATGAAAGAGTGAAGATAGCTTAAGGGACTTATAAGACATCATTAAGTGGACCATTAAACACATAATAGGGATCTAAGAAGAAGAGAGAGGCAGAAAGCTCTTACAAAAAAAAAAAAAAAATGGCTAAAAACTTCCCTCACCTAGGGAAAGAAACAGACACACAGATCCATGAAACCCAAAGATAAGTAAATCAGATGAAACCAGAGAGACCCACACCGAGACACAT